CGCGGATAAATATGCCCACCAGGATGAAGAGGAGCGTGAGCTTGCCCTTCGCCTGGTAGGTGCTAAGAGTGCCAAAGCTGAGAAGGCGGCTGCCGCCGCCGCGGCGAAAGCGCAGCGCGAACGAGAAGCTGAGGCGCAGAAGCAGCGGCGGAAAGCACAACATGAGCGCGCTGCAGAAGCAGAGCGGAGACGGCAAGCGCTTTTTGATGAGGGTGCAGCTGATGATTACAATGAGGAGACTGCTGCCGCAGAAGCGGCGGACCTTGCTTGGATTCCAGCACTGATTGGCACGCCTCGCCCAGAAGATGAAATTCTTGCTGCCATTCCGATCTGCGCTCCATGGGCAGCTCTTGGTCGCTACAAGTACCGTGTCAAGTTACAGCCAGGCACAGTAAAGAAAGGCAAGGCCGTCAAAGAGATCCTTGGCCGGTGGGTGGCAGAAACTACCACCGGAAAGGTGAAAAAGGAGCAGGCTGAGGAAGCCGGTATTAGCATAGCTGATGCAGAGAAGCTAAGGGCACGCGAAGGAGAGCTCTTCAAGGCATGGAAGGACACGGAGATCATCAACACTGTGCCCGTTCCCAAAGTTCGAATCATGACTGGAGGAGGGGCTACTGGAGGTGACGCAAAGGGCAAAGGGAAAGGAGGCAGCGGTGGGAACAAGGGAGGCAAAGGTGGAAAGAAAAAATAGACCTTGAGATATCTATATGGCAGTTAAGAGCCCAATGTCAGCTTCGACCGGCTGTCTTGAATATACAGTATATACTACTAAGAGGTGGCTATAGTATCCGCGTGTCGAAGTCTGGTCCGAGATAGCCGATTTCCCTCTTACAACAGGTTTCTAGAACATATATCCTTCCATCTCCTTGTAGTGTCTTATATTATTGAGTACAATGATCTCATATGTCAAAAATAGTACGACTCTTGTCACCTGGCTGGTAGGGAGTCTAAAGTAGCCACTCTTATCATCAGACTGTATAGTTGACTTAGTTACACATTGACTCGCTTAGTCATGCGGATCGACGTCATCTCCAGAGAAGTTCTGAAGCATGTTCAAGATCGTCAGGCCACGACGTCAATTCTATACCGAAATCATTGCATAGGTGCAATTTTAGGCTTCAATAATACCTTAAAAGGGATTGGCACGAGGACAAGCCACTCGACAATATACTCATCGCATAGATAAACGAAGCGCGGTACTTGCGCCTTATGCCCCCACTAGGCCCTCAATTTTCTTTTCTTCCTTGAGTCACCCCGCGGTTGTCTACAATTTCTCGGTCTTTTGGTAAATTTGCTGCTTGGACCTTCTTGGTGCCTTGGGCAGATTTCTGATTTCTCACTGTCTGCCGGTAATCAGAGACCCCAGCTATCACAACCAGACGGTCCAAGCTGGTGTCCATCACGTCTCGCCTTGTCGCAGGCGGCTGTCGGCGCAGCTTGGCCCATTTTTTCAGCACGACTACCGCAATCATGACGCCACGAGAGACCCGAATTTTGTCTGTCCGACGACTAAACAAAGAAGATCCTGGTTCCCGATCACTCGCAGAATGGTGGGCAAGCGAACGCACCCAGAAGACGCCCGAATCCTCCGCGATCGAAGAGGCTGCTCATCTTCTCCGAACGAGCGATATACCTGTTGCGTTTCCTACAGAGACGGTCTATGGCTTGGGAGCTGATGCGACACGGAGTGCTGCAGTGCAGGGAATTTACAAGGCTAAACAGCGGCCGTCAGACAACCCATTGATTGTCCATATCGATTCCATCGAGATGCTAGAACGACTTCTCAACCCGGCGTCGTCGAGTCCTCCGCGCACAACGAGAACGGCGAGAAATTTTATCCCCGCCATCTACCAGCCTTTGATCGAGCGCTTCTGGCCCGGTCCGCTCACAATACTCCTCCATAACCCGTCCGGGTCGCTGCTCGCTGGCGAAGTCACCGCCAATTTGACCACATTTGGTGTACGAATGCCTGCGTCACCGCTGGCGCGCCTATTAATCCATGTTGCGGACCGGCCGCTCGCGGCTCCTTCCGCTAATGCGTCTACGAAACCGTCTCCTACTGCGGCTGAGCACGTTTATCATGACCTAGAGGGACGGATCGATCTGATACTCGATGGTGGCCCCTGTGGGGTAGGAGTGGAGAGTACGGTTGTCGACGGGCTGAGCAACCCTCCGGCCATACTGAGGCCAGGCGGAGTCGGGATTGAGGAACTAAGGACGGTTCCTGGATGGGAGAATGTGCAGATCGCTTATCATGACGGCACTCTCGACGTCAAGGAGGTCCCTCGGGCTCCTGGCATGAAATACCGGCACTACTCGCCCAAGGCGCGTGTAGTATTATTCTGTGCCGGGTCTAGCGAGGAGGCGATTGCGAAGTATGTGTACAAGGATTTAGAAGATACTGCGATTAAGGCGCATATGATTGGTGTCGTACGAACCCGGCAATGGAAGCGAGGCTTGGGTCTAGTATCAGAGGAGGATATCCAGAAGACGTTGAAACCTATCCCGTCCCTGGTGGATGACCTGGTGTGCTTCTCTGTACCTGTGAAGGACAGGTTTAACAATTGCGAGATCACCAAGGAGGCCTTTGACTGCCACCTGGGAGACAGCATTGAGTCTATCGCGCGGGGACTTTTCTCGGCCTTGCGAGCCATGGATGAAATGGAGGTGGATGTCATCTACGTGGAGGGTGTTTCGGATTCCCAGGGAGACCTCGCTGCTGCCGTGATGAACCGGCTCAGGAAGGCTGCTGGGACTGTGCTAAAATTATGATAATTGGAAATAGACTATGGTACCTGGTTTCGGATTTTACTCTCTTCAAGATGTGGATCTGGAGTTTGACTGGTGACATATAATGGACTTACGAATTTGCATCATTCAGCAGAGCTTAGGAGCAACAAGGTATATACTGGTAGACGTTGTTCGACTGTATCTTCTGGCAGACTTGTAGCTTCTTGCCTCTCAGATCCATGGAAAGATCAAGGCCGCCTCCGACGATTCCTCCGCTGTCGGCAACCTCCGAGACTCGTGATAGTGAACAACCTTTTTGAGATTCCTAGCGAAGAAGTGTCTAGCTCCACTTATCTGGTTGCACGTTGTTTGATAGAACTTTAATACTCGCAGAGTAATCTCTTATCAGTCACGTCTCTTGCAGATCAAAGGATAACGATCGTTCTCAATGAGTCAATACGGCCGCTTCAATTGCGCGGAAAGCCCGACGGCTGTCCATCAATCATTTGACCAGATTTGACCCACGACCCGTTGTTACTGAGTATTCATAAGTTGGCTTGGAGGAATACCGTCGGAGATTTTGTCCTTTCTTTCGACCAGTCCGAGTTCCTCTTCTTGACGTATTGTTCTCGCCTTCTTCCAGATACCAGCAGCGACAATGTGTCAATCACAACTGCACGATTTCCTGCATGGCCTCCCCAAGTGCGAGCATCATGTCCACCTGGAAGGCTGCGTCACACCTGAATTGATTTTCCAGCTAGCAGAGAGAAACAACATACAACTACCAAACCCAGCAAGCCACCCAGCCTACGCCTCAGTCGAAGCACTCAGAGCCCGCTACGGTGAGTTCACTTCGCTAAACGACTTCCTCGACTTCTACTTCCATGGCATGTCCGTGCTGCACCACGAGTCCGATTTCGAGGACCTCGCCTGGGCGTATTTCCAGAAAGCACACGCGGACGGCGTCCACCACGCCGAGGTCTTCTTCGACCCGCAGGTCCACCAGGCTCGTGGCATCGACTACGAGACCGTCGTCTCCGGCTTCACGGCCGGGTGCAAGCGAGCAGAAAGGGAACTAGGTCTCTCGACAAGGTTGATACTGTGCTTTGTGCGTCATTTGCCGGTCGACTCCGCGACCAAGCTGTATGAGTTGGCGCTTGCCAGCAACCACTTCGAGAGTGGGGTTGTGCATGGTCTCGGCTGGTCATCGTCCGAGGTTGGGCCGCCGAAGGACATGTTTCGCGAGATTTACGCTTCCGCGTCCGATATGGGTATCCGCTTAACGGCGCATGCGGGCGAGGAAGGGGATCCGACGTATATCAGCACAGCGTTGGAGCTTGGGGCACAACGTATTGACCATGGAATTCGGCTGGTTGAGGATCCGGAGCTGATGGAGAGGGTGGCTCGCGAAGGAATTATGTTGACCGTCTGTCCCTTGTCGAATGTGCGACTTCGGTGCGTTCAGTCGGTGGAACAAGTGCCCATTCGGAAGTTCCTGGATGCCGGTGTCAAGTTCTCCATCAATAGTGATGATCCGGCTTACTTTGGAGGTTATATTCTCGATAACTACTGCGCTGTTCAGGAGGCGTTTCAGCTTTCCATCTCGGAGTGGAGAATTATTGCTGAAAATAGTGTCAACGAGAGCTGGATTGATGAAGCGAGGAAAGCTGAGCTACTGAAGCGCATTGATGATCATGTACAGAAGCATACTGTCGTTGCTTGATGCTTTATGAGAAGATGACCTATGACTTGTTGATGTTGAGATGCTTGAGTGTGCAGATGTATATATGGGGTGCGGAGCATATAGATGAATTTTGGCCCATTTATTTGCAATTGATACAGTAAAACGCGAGGTGTTCAGCTATACCTGAGCCAGGCCTAAGATAATCAAAATAATGAGACTATTCAATGGGACGTCCATTCGATGTTGATTAACCACGCCCTCTCGCTGTCACCTGATGTCATCGACTCCATAGTAGCAAACAACAATGCCGCTAAGTATACCCCCGATAGGTAACGGACTGGGCAATATCATCAGCAGCAGTCATCTACCGCTCTCGCTACATAACTGTTCACACCAGTAGCAGATGAGCTTGAAAGCAGTCGATTTGGCCAGACAAGCAGCCCGCAAGACGCCCTTCCATTCTGTCCGCTCTGTTCAACCTCTACTGCTCGTCTCAAGAACCCCGCTTTCTACAGCTTGTTATAAAGCCACTCTGTCCACAACCGAAACAACAGCCAGAGTTCCATTTTGTCTCTATAAGAGAACAATGTCTACGACAATCCCCGACCGCTACAAGCTCATCTTCTTCGTGCCACACTCGCACCTCGAACAGTGCAAAGAGGCCATCTTCGCTACTGGAGCCGGTACCTTCCCCGGAGGCAAGTACAGCAAATGCGCGTTCCAGATGCCCGGGCTAGGACAGTTTCTGCCTGCTGGGGATGCGAATCCTGCCATTGGAGAGGTCGGACAGTTGGAGACTGTCGAGGAAATGAAGGTGGAGATTATGTGTCTGGGACGATCGGTTATGCTGCAGGCGGTCGAGGCGTTGAAGAAGGCGCATCCGTATGAGGAGGTGGCATATGAGGTTTATAAGATGGAGAATGTTTGATTTCTCGTTGGGATTGATGCTTCTGGAGGCTGTGGTGGTTGCTGGTTACGACTCATGATAGCGTTTTGTACCTGTTGATAGTTGAATCTGCGTGGAGAACTGCATCATTGGCGAGCCGTTCGTGCTGGAGATCATTTGTGAGCGTTACTCAAGATTTTGAAGGTATCCGGAAAATATCTATCTCATCTTCGAGAATAATTCATCGTCAATTGCACAGTTGATGTTGCGTTCAATCCTCAAGTCGTCCGGTGGAGTAATCTCTTAGCGCTGATTGGCTGATCGCAACACCCGCAAAACGCCTCATCGACTCCATTGAATTCATCTGCAACTCCGGCCATCAGCGCAACAGCCTCAATCCGTCCTCCTCTCTTTCGATCCCCCTCTTTACTCCTCTCCTTTGCCAGCAATGGCTTCCAAGTTCTTCCCCGCTATCCCGCGGGTTGGCCGCCAATTGTTCCACCAGATTCCCAAGTCCCAATGCAGACCGTTCTCGGCTGGCCCGCAACGTTACAGCGATACACTTGCCGTGGTGCGTATGAAGTTATCAGCTATTGCGGCATAATCGGAATATTTCGTCGTCGTGGAAATATATGAATGACAGTGACTGACTGGTGTGGTTCGGAGTTCTAGCATCGCAACAAGCCTAACAACAACCCCTCTATCCCTTTCAAGTTCTCCGAGCAGAACATGAAGCTCGTCGATGAGATCCTCAAACGCTATCCTCCCCAGTACAAGAAGGGTGCCGTTATGCCCCTCTTGGACCTGGGCCAGCGCCAGCACGGCTATACCAGCATTAGCGTTATGAACGAGGTCGCCCGTATCCTTGAGATGCCCCCAATGCGCGTTTACGAAGTCGCTACCTTCTACACCATGTACAACCGTGAGCCGGTTGGAAAGTACTTTGTTCAGCTTTGCACCACGGTATGTATACCGCCGTCTTTTTATCAAGAAGGGAATTGGTAGCTTTGGACGGCTGCGCTAACGCAAACGGTTGATTAGACACCCTGCCAGCTCGGTGGCTGCGGTAGCACCAAGATCCTCGAAGCTATCCAGGAGCACCTGGGCATTACTGCCGGACACACAACAGAAGACGGCCTTTTCACTTTCATCGAGGTCGAATGCCTGGGCGCCTGTGTCAATGCCCCCATGGTCCAGATCAACGACGACTACTACGAAGATCTCACGCCCGAGTCCATCAAGAGCCTTCTCACAGCCCTGAAGGAGTCCGCCACAGCCGCGGAGAGCGGCAAGGAAGTCAAGGTGCCCGCGCCAGGCCCTCTGAGCGGAAGACACACCTGCGAGAACAGTGCCGGGCTCACGAACCTGCAAAATCCTGTGTGGGACCCCGAGACAATGATGCGGAAGGACGGTGCCTTGGATCAGCAGGCTTAAACATGTTCCGTATTATAATCCCTCGGTTTAACAATTCAAAGTCTTCTGTTGCATTTTGATTTCCTTTTCCTTCCCAGTGGAATCTCCGCAGTCCCGTCCATGATGAGAGAGATTGTGAGGCGTCTTGATACTGCATGATTTCTAGAACTACCATGTACAGTACGTTAGTCTGAAGTTCCTTTGCTATGGCGGTAGACAGACATGATGGAAGATCATATCCATAGATGTTTGCCAAACATTCCCGACGAAGCTCCGTTTCTAGTCCTCTTCGTCCATTCCTAATTACCTCTCCATTTAAAGAGGATCCAGTAAGAACTGGGTACGCTAGCAAATATCGATCTGCTGAGCCTACTGGAGTGATGAGGACTGCGGTATGACCAGGTTACCTTAGTAGGTATGTTTATGTTTGGTCAGTGTTTACCCAGGGTGGAAGGAATATCTTTAGTCAACCCTTTCTCATTTCTCTCCACCTTACCACCTTAACCAACCTACATAGTAGGGGTCGGTTCGTCCTTTGGATTCGGACAATCATAATATCACGTTGAACTTCGAGAGCCATCTATTCTACATTTATCTCATCACTGACATAACGCTGAATCATACAAAAAAGAAAGGGCCATCAAGCAGCACCAGGCACAAACTCCATGGAGTCGTCCTCACAAGAAGTTATCCACAACCAAGGCAGGTCCCTGGCAGTTTAACGCTTCTCCAGCAAGGCATTCATCGGCTTTTACCAAAACAGCCTGACCATTCCGCTCGACCAGGATCTTCCCACGCCGCTCCTGAAAAATGTTGACGTCAATTGTTCTCTTCACGAGCAGATGGTAGACGTGGACGCGTCTCGTCTGACCGTAGCGAAGGGCACGACCAACTGCCTGTGTCATTAAGGAACCATAATCGTACTGCGTGTCTGCGAGCATGGGCGAGAGGAAGATGACGTGATTTGTGCACTGCAGGTTTCTGTGAACAATGTTAGATGAGAAAGAAGGGAAAGGAAGAGACAGGGACGGTCACTTACAATCCAGCAGCCGTCTCGCTACCGAGATTCAGTATCACGACTTTTTCATTACCCCTTTTAAATTCTTCAATCTTCTTGGTGTCGCGCGCTGTGATCACTGTGTGAGTAATTTTTGCCAAATCAAATGCTTTGGATGCAACATGAATGAGTCCAGGGAACTGGATGAAAAGGATCGCTCGCTCTTGGTTGGGAATCGCTTTGACAATCTCGACCAATTTGTCCATCTTCCTTCCTCCATACTGAGTGCTTCGGTCTCCTTCGAAACCAAGCGAGGCAGCGCTGATCATGTTGAATCTTGTACCTGAGCCACGGCAGTTGTCGACGATGCATTCTTCAAACCGAACAGTCTTCTCAGCGCAGTCCTTGCACAGTGCATGACCGCAGGATCCAACGACATTTAAGTCGCTGCGCGACTGTACTTCTTCTCTGCAGCAGTGGCACCCAGATGTTTCCGTGTTAGTTTGCAGCATCCGCACTGTTCTGAGAAACCTCAGAGCTCTTTCACGCAGAACCCACTCGGACATTATATTCCGCAAGATGGATGTAACTTCGTCCATGCAGAGCTCGAAGTCATCGACTTTCGTCGGCTTCATCGGAAGCTCGCTGTACTGATCTTTCTTACCGTCAGCACGCTTCGTCTTCTTTGCCTGGCGTTTCTGCGCCCCCTTGCCGGCCACACGTTTTGCTTTCTTGGGGCCCCCCTGAAGTTGGTTGTCCACTTCTGCCATCTTGTCTCTCTCAATGCTCCCCGTATCTTCGTGCGAGACGGTCGTCCCGGATTCAGCTTCCTCCGGGCTGCCTGCTTTCTTTGGGCTGGATCCCTTTTCGGCGAAGAAAACCTCCCAGTCGTCCGGATGCGATGCGCACATAGCAGACTTGAAAAGGAGAAAGGCTGCAGTAGTCACTGCCTCGTCACCAAATTGATGCATGAGGATACCTTCGGCGAATTTGTGAAATTTCTCATATTTCAGATCCCATCCGAAATAGAGCCAGGCTGCCAATTTCATCTTACTCGAAAATTCGGCGCGAAGGTTAGCCAGTTGCTCCTCCCGAGTCGCAATCAAAGAACTGCAGGTGACGGCTTCTGGTTTCCCCTCCTCCCAGCGCCCTTTCAGCGTCAGTGAGCAACAGCGCTTGAGCAGAGCTTCTTCTGGTGACATACTGCTGCTGATAATTTCGTCCAGTCGTTCATTTTGATCATTTTTGAATCGTCCGCGCCTGCTTCGACGCAGCTGCTTGTTGTGCGTCATTAGCTGCTTGTACAGCTCGAGGTAGATTGCACGCTCAGCTGGGGACTGATCAATCAGAATAAGGTGCTCTGAACAAGGGATCTCGTCAATATCTGCAATATTTCGGCGTGCAAACTGATTTAGAAACCTTTGAGCAATCTCATGGCGGTTGCGATGCCATGCCTCGCTGTGCGGAGCCCTCCAGGACTGAAAAACTTCTGCATCTGAGCGGTTTTTGCGCAGAACCTTCAGACGATGGTTCTGGGATGAAGTATTCTCGTCATCGACTCCCAAATGGATTCCCAAGAAGGGTGCGATGGTTTTGACATCGGCAAAGTCGTTCAATGGTGGTGTACCTGAGAGCACCCACTTTGAACGAGCTCGCAGGGCCAGAAGAGGCGCGAGTCGCTCATTACCGGCATAAGTGAATTCATCGATGACGATACGGTGGAAAAGGAATGCGTGCAAGAGAGGAGTCTTGACGGTATACCACTGCTGGTTTCTTTTATATCTGATGATGTTGAACTCTTTCCGGTCGTCCCACGTCTTTTCTGCCTTTTCAGGGCTTGACTGGTCACGCTTTCTCTTTCGACTCGTGTCGACTGTGCTGGGTCCTGCGTTCGTTCGAGCATTGCTCTCCGTCGAAGACTCTTCGTATGCAGTATCGTCCTCGGAGTACGACTCACCAAGCGTATGCGTGGCGTCCCCTCTTGCAGTTTCGGACTGGAGTTCAATGAAATGCTCTACATTGGTCCGCACAGACTCAGGATCTGCCTCGTCATCACCATCCGACTCCTCTGCGCTAGACAAGTCTGCGTACTGCATGCCATGCTCAGGCTTGGTATCATCCGTCTCGTGTGCTGTCGCATACTGCTTCCCTCTAAGCCGCTTTGACGGGGTGTAGGTACGGTTTCTATGAGTGGTCTTGACCGTTTGACGCTTCTTGCGCAGAGATTCCAGGAATTCACGGGGTCCTTGATCCATCAGAATCTGGACCTGTTCTCTGAGGGATCTCTGTGCCTCAGCAAACCAAGCATCGAAGTTCCGGCCTGCGCTTTCGGGAACTCGTGGCATGCCCGTGAATCTTTGCATTCTCTCGTAGTATGACTGGTGGTTGAGAACAGACCAGGGCACCAAAATAATATCGGCACGAAGAATATCGCTGATCATCTTTTTCGAAAATTCTGTTCCAGAAGGCAACACCAGGACCTCGTATTTTTGGCCAACGAATTTTGTGATTTCCAACTGCCATTGCTGAAGCACGATTTGGGGCACGAGAATGAGAGTCGCTTTGGTGGGAATGAAGCCCGCCATGGGCTTTGGTATAGTGTCATGGCCCCTGCTATGCTGCACGTCAATGA